TCTTCAGACCTAACTAAGCATGCTGTGCGTACTCTTCAATTTTAGTTTGTGTAATCACTTGTCAATGTTGATTGCAAAATTAAGCAAAAGACATTAATGGAAATAATGATATTTGCTATCTTTCTGAAAGAGGGGATAGTTTTATTTTTCTTCTTTTTCCTTAGTGTAGGAGAAGGGGAATGATTTGGGCTGTTTTTTTTTTTATGATAAAATGCTTTTGCATTTGTGTTGCATAAGTAACTTGCAAGAAAACAACAGTGGCACTTTAACACTTCTTATAAATGGCTTTAGTAGAATAAGGATATTACCTGTGTAACCTTACCAATGACTTCAAGCTTACAGAAGGAACTTCTAGAGGCATGTAATAAAGTTTGAGAACCATTGCAATTAATTAATAAGAACTTAAAAAGCAATTAATATAAGTAGAAGAATTACAGGTTAATTACCATCTAGTCATCTCTTTGGTGTAGGCTATCAAAACTCTCTTGATTTTGTTATTTTTTTTTTAATTACCTGATATCAGTGGCACCAGATTTCGCCCCTGGTTCTGGTAGCAGGCAGATTTCTGCATAATTATAACTTTTGCCATTTAGAGAGCAGAGGTAGTACATAATACAAGAAGTCGCTAATTTACAGGTTTATTCCTATTCAGAGTTACATATTTTCACATATGATAGCACTGAAAAGTTTATAGGCATATTACAACAGAAAGCATTGGATCAAGGAAGCTGTAAGCCTGTGTGAAAAAATGATGGGAAGATGCAAATAAAACCTTAAGGAAAAAAAAATAGTTTTCAAGGCATTTCTAATAAATGTGCAAATTAAAAATAAACTTTTGTCTTGCATTGTCTCTAGACATCAATCTAAGACAGAGCTGCCTTCAGAAATAGCTTCATATTTCCAAAATCATTGCTCTTTGCTCAGTCTGGCAACCAGGTGTATAAAGATAAGGCAATTAAATGTTCTCATGCCTGGACTATAATCGCTATACTTCACTACTCAAACCAAAAGTACTTCTAGTCCACCATCCTATTGCTGCCAAGAGCCAGTAGGATATAGCTAAGGAGAGAGTGGCCCAGTCACCCACTCTGCTTCGAGCAGCCGGTGCCTTCTCAACCAGAGAACACGTTTGATACAGGCGTTCAATGGGCTTTTCCTCTGTGAAATCATCTAATTGCCTTTCGAACCCACATACCACCTTGTGATGGTAAGTTCAACACTATAATGATGCAAACACTTGGTCTTTAAAACACCCAAGCAAAGCTGTTGCACAACATTTTGGCAGGAATATTTCAAAGAATCCCAGAAAGCCTCTCCTAAGGCTGCCTTTCCTTCTCAAAGGAAAACAAGACTTTTAGGATCAGTGATCTGTTATTTTTATGGCCACAGTTAAGATTGTTGCCTGTCACCTTAGCAAGGGGATCAGATAATTCTTAAGGGTGCAGGCTTTCTTTTGCCTTAAAGTCTGAGCATCTTATTCCCTTGAATTGCAGAGACTGATGGTGCTAGTATATAACACTTAGAGACAGGGTGAAAACTTTGCTGTGGGAAAAAAGGCTTAGTCCCTTGAAGCCTGTCCATAAAAACAGCTGTTAATGTCTCTGCCTCGATATCATGGGCTTCACTGCCTGCAACGTTTAGGTTAGAAATCCTTCATTATATTTGCTCACATGTTTCATAGCACTGCAAAAAGAGGACTCAAAGCCCCTGAGACACAATTTCGGAAGAGCCTCAAGGACCTTTATTTTATAATCTCTGCTAGTAATCTTGAGTCACTTCCAATACATCACGCAGGTCTAAGAGAAGGTGCCATCTGGTACCGTGCTGAGAGACATCAGGTGACCTGGCTTTTTTCTCACCACATTGAGGAATCTAAGCATGTGGTTCATAGCCACTAAACAGGGGATGGGTTTCTATGCAAGGCTACTGACGCTGGGCAAGAGAAAGTCTCTGGAATTACTTTATTTTCCACCCCAATGCATGTATCGAGCTTCTTGTTTCCAGGCTGTGTACTTCTTTTTTTGACCTTTTTTTTTTTTCTTGTAAAGTCATGTTCTCAAACTACTAACATGCTCTCAAGTCCCTGTTTCTCCCATTTACTACAATACTTGCAGACCCAGCATGCAAGTTTGTCACTACTTCTGCTTTCTTCTGCCTTCTCCCTTCCATTTCTGTTTACTAGACTTTGCTTGTAGTCATACATGGGAAGAAATCTAACCCCTCACTCGCCCAATATGCAGATACAATTCTAAGAAAACTGTGTTTTAACTAAAGAAATCAGTTTTCCTAAGAGTGGTAGTGTTAAACTGATTATTAAGAAAAAGTAGTTTTTCCAGCACAGCCTTTCTAATTTGTGTGTACATCATCATTATAAGCTACCTCTACACACTCCTAATAGAAACATGGCCCATAAAAATGCATTTGGAAACAATTTCTTCTTCTACTTGCTCTTAATTCTGTTTCCCTGCTGCTGTTTATTCTGGATTGTTGCACTGCTTTTTCTAATTTTCTGAGTGTTCTGTCTTATTTCTTTTCCAATTCTGACTTGTTGCCAGCAAGCATGTCTTGTTTGTTCATATGTTTGCTCATTCTGTCAAATGTTGCACAGTAAAATTTAATTTTTTTCAGATTACTCAAGTAGATGATTTGGAACAGCTTGATGATAATTTTGGAGTGTTTCTTAAACAAAATGCAGATTTATTTGGCATGTTCATCTTATCTTCTGAAAGGACAAACACAACAGAGGTAGGAGATCCTTTCATGTTATATGAAGGAAGTATGTTTTCAAGGACTGTGATGGCTTATTCTTTGGTATTCACAAGATAAAAAATTAGTCTTTGGTATTCTCAATATACAAAAATTACTGTGAAATCTTGTATTCATGCCTTGTATTTAATTTAAATTTGAATTTATAAACGTTCTTGGCTTCTGAAATTGATTTTTTTTAATGCATAATTGTTTCTGGTGAAATAAAAGTCTAAGTTACATCTGAGTTTTAAAACACTCTGTTTGCCTGAAGCACAAATTTGGTAGGTATGTACTTGAAAAATTCTATATTGGTATTTCAAAATAACACCTATTGAAATTTTTCTTTTGGTCATCAAAGATAAAAGATGGAAGATTGCTTCTGCAAGCTACTCTTCCTCTATTAGCTGCTCTTGCTTATTACAAATACAGTTTCTTTCCAGGGAGCCCGCAAATCTCTGCCTGTCATTGATATTTTGGAGTAGAGCATTTCCAAACAGCAGTTCACACATTCAGGGATTTATTCTGTTGTTATTCAGTTTGTTGCACAGGTAAACCCCACCGCCTCTCGCTGTTGAAGGCTGTGATCTTCTATCACGTAGCACGTTAGCAGACAGCTACTGCTGCCCTATGGAGACTCTTCAAAGGGATGGAAGGAAAGGCTGGAGCTTAGAAAAATCCTCTCTTAATGACAGCTATAGTCTATGTTGCTACTGAAGCCCTCCAGACAGCCAGGTGTGCTCACCTTTCCCGTTTGGAAACCCTAGTAGGATCTCGTAGGTGATACTGCTCCTTCAAGGTAGGTCATCCTTAAAGGTAACAGTCATATTTTTACATTCCAGCAGCTTGTGCATGCCATAGTTTATACCATAAGGCTTAAATCTACTATAAGGTTGCAAGCTATTATGTGCTGCTGCACAGTATAGGCATAATGTTGCACTGTATGTTTCCACAGTTTCAACCACCAAAAGAAGATGTCCTGCACTCACTCTGCTGCTCATCACTCTTTCACATGCCTAATATCTGCTCTCTTGTACAACTCAGTTTTGCAAGGCTGGGCAATGCAAAGTGTAAATATTTCTGTCTAAAGCTAACCATTTTTATTAGTATTTTATCTTACTGCAAGCTTTTATCT